GTCCGTATTAATCCTTTGCTGATTTATGCATCTAAATTTAGCTTGTATTTTTTCAGATCCTTGAAGAGCTCTCAGAATTACCAGTGGTTTTGGAGTTGGCTTCAGATTTCCTAGATCGAAACACCCCAATTTTCCGTGATGATGTTTGTATATTCATCTCACAAAGCGGTGAAACAGCCGATACTTTGAATGCATTAAGGTACTTTGTTGAAAAATTCGCTCTTTGGGTACCAGTAAATTGTCTTTAGATATTGTAAGCCTCGAGGCGCTTTGCTGATTGGTATAACTAACGCCGTCGGGTCGTCTATTAGCCGTGAAACTCACTGCGGCGTTCATATTAATGCCGGTCCAGAAATTGGTGTTGCCTCTACTAAGGTAAAGTTTCCCCCTGATTGTCTTCATTCTTAAATTATCACTATTACTTTTAGTGGCTTAAATTACTTTCTATTTAGGCGTATACCTCGCAAATCTTATCTCTACTGATGTTTGCGCTGGTTCTTTCAGATGATCGCATCTCAATGATGAATAGGAGGAGAGAGATTATTCAAGCCCTTAATGACTTACCAGGTAATCTATCAAAACAGCTTAGAAATCCATGGAAGGGGTTTGAATGATTAGACCGACAATGTGGCCTAGATTTGAACTGATTTGACCTTAGTCTGCATTTGAAAAACAAACTAAAAAGTACCTCCAAGTTTTAAATTCATAAATTTCATTTAATTCAAACTTATCAGAATTTGCGTTCCAATATTGGACCAACTTGATTTCATTTAAGAATTCAGTCCAGCTGTTTAGCACTTAGTATGAATGCACACCACAAATATATGATCCAGATGATCTGCGTGTAGAGTGCAACCCTTCAAAATCCAAAAGTGACATGAAGAGCATGAAGCTTTTTTAAGAAGTGTACAACTTAATTATTCAAAATTTTAGCCAAAATTATTACCAGTTCCTTTTTTTGACACGTTTCAACATTGCTTCGCATTTAGGCTCTAAAGAAGGCGTTCAAAGTTGCAACTTGGCCAGTAAAAAAACTGATAGTAATCGTGGCCAAGGTCTAATTAAATAAACAATACAATCAAATATGAGGGAATTCTAAAACGGCCAAACGTGGCCTATTAGAAAGTTGGTTTAAAGTCAATTTTGCATTCTTTGACAAGTGCCATGAATAGCTTTTCAATGTTTGTTTGCTACGCATTCACTCTACAACCAAAAATTTTGAGCTCTTATTAAGATACACATTAGAATTGCATTCTGTGCTAAATACTAAGGTAGTCATTTTTATAACTATAGTAATAGTAATAATCTCAATTATAGTGATAGTAGTAAAAATAATAATATCATCATGATAGTAATATTGATTTATGTAAGAACTACTTATTTCAAACAAAGTTTCTTAGCAACACGGTATGATTTATTGGTTTACCAGCTAGAATATGGGAAATGATAATAAAAATGGTCTCAATTTTTTTCTCAAAATCCAAATTGTTCGTAAAAGTTGGCTTCTGCAGATCTCATTCGGGAAGTCTTGCAATTAGACAAAGAGGTTTTACAAATTGCGCAAGAGATATACAAGGAAAAGTCTTTGCTTATTATGGGCAGAGGTTTCAACTTTGCTACTTGTCTCGAAGGTGCACT